TGATCTGTTGAGCCTGCCTGGTTGCCACCACAAAGATCTTTACATACAAGCTTATCATGATGATGCAGGGAACAAAGAACGCAGGGAAATTTAGCCAGCCCCAAAACTTATTGAACAGCAGTTGGCAACTACCCACACAAGGCATCTCTTGCAGCCACTGGCTCAGTCCCCTCTCTAGCACATCTGTGTAGAGGAAGAAGGCAGTGTAAGCTGCTGGTACCCCCCACCCTGCCAAGATGTACCTGAGAGCCACCCTGGCTGTAAACTTGGAGGGGTAGAGCAGAGGGTCACAGATGGCACAGTATCGGTCAATAGAGATGAAACAGAGGTGAAAGATGGATGTGAGGCAAAACAACGTGTCCAGGTACGTATGCAGACGGCAGAGGAAATCCCCGAAGAACCAGCAGCTCTCCACAGAGCGAACAGTGCTTAAGGGCAGCACCAGCAGACCCAGCAACATATCCGCCAGGGCCAGAGAGAGCAGCAGGAAGTTGGTGGGAGTGTGAAGTACTTTAAAGTAGGACACAGAGAACACCACAAACAAATTCCCCAGGACTGTCATCAGCATGCCTGCTGCACAGGCCAGGTACATGGCCAGCCGGATACCCAGAGGGTGGATTGTCCTGGGACAAGACCCATTCACCTGGTAGCAGAATGCTGCAGGGTTCTCTTCAGCACTGTGGGTGAGGACAGCTCTCATTTATGACTTCCACACTTCCCTCTCTGGGAATGGGCCACCTCCTGAAGAAAAGAAAAGAAAAAAAAATCAGAAAGTGACATCAAGAAGAGGAGGCTAAAGCACAAATGAACCTAGTATGAAGCTAGTACAGTTTCACTGGGTATTGAACCAATTGTACTCCGAAAAGAAAATATGGCATGGAATTCAAGTTCCTGGTTCATCTGACTAGATTCTTTTTAAACTAGGATAAACACTATCCTCAAGGAGAAAAAAGATATAAGCCAAATGCTTCCTTGAAGAAAAAAGTGATTGTGTTCTAGTCATTAGCATAAAATGATTGAGGTGTACCTTTCCCATTTTGGTAATGCGCTTGTCGGATGTACAGTGAGATTTAAAGTTGTGAGTCAACCAAGTGACCAATGATAATTCTTGTTAATGAATCATTGCCTGAGGAAGGAGTAATAAGTACTTTTCTGGAACAATAATTATCCAAGGCTCTTCCTTTAATAATTACATAAATTGACAATAAAATCAACAAATTAAAATATTTCATTTTTAATCTCTTCCAAAAATAATTTAAAAAATAAAAAATTGTCCTATTTTGGTTTTGCATGCTGCATATTTGTACTCCATAAACAAGTTCTGGGATTGCTGAACTGGGCTTTTTTTCCTCTGGTTCTGGAAGCTCCTCTATGCTAGGTAAATATTCTGTCACTGAGCTACATCTCAGCCAATATTTTCTAAAGACAGAAAACAGTGTTTACACACCATGAAAAGATGATCTGCTATGGGGAAAGTATTTTACTTAGCAAACTACTAGGCAGTTTCTAGTAAACTGAATTCATGGTGTACAAGTTACTTACACAGATAGGAACCAGTCACTTTGTAGGAAGAAATCTATCTTGCGGCAGATGGACATAAAGAATGTAAGGTTCTTCTCCTATGGCAAAGATGACATATGTGTAATCCTTTAACAATTTTATACTTTCTGTAGAAACTACTCCTCCGTGGGGTACAATACACAGGAGTGGTGAAGTAGTGTCAAGGGACCTAGCTGGCCTTATTCACAAGCTCAGTTATTTGAGTTTCCATCTCAGTATATTATTGATCTGACAATTAATTAAAGGTGAAAATTAGAAGTGCTGGATTTACATATCATTTTTCTTTTTTGCTCCAAAGTTAGGAAAATACAGAAAGGTATTCTTTTGGTGGATAATTGTATTCTTCTCATACATTTCTTTCAACATGAGAAATAGTGGCTAATTAATTTTTTTTGATAAATTATTACTTGAGAAAAGAGCTCTGAATAGTGATAATGGGAAGAGAGAAGTTGTAAGAAGAAATTCCAGGGGAGGAGATATTCTGGCTAAGGACCCTAAAGAAACCTGTACTTACTCAGCAGCATGTAGCACGGGCAGTTAATAAATTTTCCAGAAATACTTCTAATTATATTTGTGATCAAGTAGAGCAATTACCATCACAAAAGTCCAATAATGCAAAGATTGGGGATCTTTTCCTCCCATTGAATTTATTGGTACATTTTAAGTATACAGTACAGTTACATTCATCATTGGGATCTTGTACCTTTATATGACAGGTCTTGGTTCTCATTTTTTCTCCTTGTCCCTGCCCTCCCTTCACCTCCTCCTCCCTCCCCATTTACAAACACTTCATTTCCATTTTTTCTTTTTCTTATATTTTTTTCTTTTCCCTTATTACATTTCCCCTACCCTTCGCACTTTCCCTACAATGTTAGCCCTTTTCTTCCTATTTCATATTGTAAATTATATCATTAGGATCTTATGTACTATTATGTTTTTCACTCCAGAGGAACTATTTGGTATTTATACATGTGTGACTTATGTATTTTACTTAGGAGTACATCCTCAATATGTATCCATTTTCCTATGAATGAATCTAATGTGAAGATTGCTTTTTTAGCAGAAAGAATAGCAGAAGAAACTCTCTTAAGGTTATAAATAAAGAAGAAATTCTAGAACTTGCTTATGGAGTACAAAACTGGCCAATTTTAGGAGCACTTCTGCAACCTGTTGAACACAATTAAATGGTTATGAAGGAGAAAATTTGTCAAGCATTATGCAATGCAGATAATCATGGCTTCACAGAGCAATACACATGGTTTTGAATATTACTTATAACCAATAAGCTATAGAATCTTGGAACAGTCACCTAACCTTTTCAAGCAGCTGGGACTAAAGAGGAAAATAATCACATTCTCCTGACAAAAGAAAATTCAAATATCACTTTTATGCATTGTTATCAAAAATAATGGAGACTAACAATAAGCTTTTCCACAGCAGCACAGACTTGGGGCAAAGCCTGAAATAGCTCCTGATACGAGACAAAGAGACAGACTGCTCTTGATGCCCGTTCCTATTCCTGGTAGTTTTTTCTTCTGTTTTCCTTCCTGTAGCAAGCAGTGCTGAGTACCCTAAAGGCCATTCCCAAGCCCAGTTGGATCACTTTTCTCAGTCTCTGATGAGGCACTGTGACAGCCAGCACAGGTTACGTGGAGCCACTCCCTAGCTTGGCACTGTAGTAGTTGAGAGACAGTGTTATGTCTTACATTTACACAGAGTTGGTTAGTTTTTATCTTTTCATTCATATGTCTCTTAGAACCAAAATGTTGTAATGAAGTAGGAGAGAAAAGTTAAAATATTGAATTTGAAATTTCATCCTATTTCAGTGTTTCCCATTCACGGAATGGATGGGGCCTTGAAGCAGGGCACATAAGGAGTTCCCGGGACAATACCCCCATCCTTCACCATCGTTTCTCTGCATGGAGTGGCTGAGCTGAGTTTGTTCCCACGCATATACTTTCTGCTTTCTGTTGCATAATAAGCAAAACACACAATGCAGCAGGGGAGAGGTTTAATTTGCTCACTGGTTTAGTCCAGGATTTGTTAGCACCAGGGCAGAGACAACACTGTGGAAAGACACGGTGGAGTAAATCTGCAGTTTCTGTGTCTGGGAAGCAGAGTAAGGGAACAGTGCAGGATAGAAATAGCGACAGTCCAGACAACACCGGAAGGCCTCACCGTATGACTAACCCAGATACACCTAGAAGTGCTCAAATAATCCACCATAATCACCACATCCTACCCACTGTCGACTTGGTAGATCCAGAGTGTGCCAGGGAAACCCCAACTGCATAGAGATGTTTTATTACAGACATTTCGGAGTAATGAATTCTTTCCAAGTAGATACACTGGAAAGACATTTTAAAAAGCAAACAAGTTCATGGAAGTTTTGGAATTTACACTCATGAAAATAAGAAATCTCAAGATCCACATAGAAAGAAGATATCCTTTGACCAGGCTAGAGGATAAAGTCTATTTAACCAATTTTTCCAATGTTACTACAGAAGTTGTTATAAAAGATGAAAATAAAAATCTGTTTAGAAGAAGAGGAAAACACAAAGAACATGGAGACAGAAGATACTTTCCTAAGTCTTTGGCAGAGAAATAACTTCAATTTTGTGAGTGATATTTGTATATACTCACAATTACACACACACACACAAACACACACACACACACATTCTGGAAGACATCCCTTGTATGTATATACACAGGGCACATGTATACTTGGATTAAAAACTATATATTGAAAGAAAGAAAGAATAGTTTAGCAAATTATTTTACTCATTCTCACTTAATGACAGTGCAATTTTATCAAATATTTCAAACTTCACATAATTTTTTATGAAAAGAGGTCCAAGTTAGAAACAATAAATTCGGAGTAACTACAACTGCCTGCTTCCTTCTCGCCTCCCGTCACTCAGACCCTCATGAGGAGGTTCTCCCTAACTCCGTAATCTCAGAGAGACTTGGAATAACAGCTATAGTATATGGCTGTCAGTGAGAAGACCAAATGTGGCTTCCCCTCTAAGGCTTATAAGTGAAAGTGAGGAAATCATTCATTGAATTAAACCAAAGAAGTGAGATTCTCAATTTCTATTTTGGGGTGGGGGTGGGGGGATTGAACTCTGGACCTTGCCCTTGCAAAGCAGGTGGCAGCACCACTGAGCTAAATGCCTGGCCCCCGATTCCTGTTTTTGAAAGTTCAGAAATTAGCAATCGTTGGAGAGTTTATTTTATTTGAGAAGCCTTCCCCAGGCATGGACCATTTTGGTAGCTTAGGTTTACCAATATGACTAGATCTATTGCTCACACTACGGTGTCCATTATGGCATCTGAATAAATCTCCTCACCTAGTGAGTTCATGCCAATATATATGAAGAGAAATCATTGAAGTTTTTCTTGTAGAAAAGTATCTTTGCAAATGAGTTTAAGATTTCCTAAGAATGGGCAGGAAACAAGCTCAGAGTGGAAGAATGGAGGCTGAAGATCTTTCCTGTGACAATCATCCTGAAAGCCTTGCGAAACCAAGGATAAAACATGCCATAAATAATGGGATTGAAAGTAGAATTGAAATAACCCAACCAGAGGAAGACATTGTACAGATCTTCAGGTGTTGTAAAATCAATGAAAGGGTCTATGATTGTCAAGACAAAGAACGGCAGCCAGCACACCACAAACACTCCCATGACTATGCTTAGAGTCTTGGTGGCCTTGCTTTCTGATTTGGATGGTACTTTCTTTCCAGTTTCTGAGTCAGCCTGTTTTGTCCTAGGACCTGTGCCAGTTTGCTTGGCATGCTTCCTGGCTACTGTGAAAATGTGTAGGTAAATCCCCACCATGACTGTCCCAGGAACAAAGAAAGCTATAAGGGAGGCCAGCACCCCCCAGAGCTTGTTAAATATCAACACACACAAACCTGTGCAGTCAATGGCTGCGATAAAGTCTTCTGTACCTATTACATTTAATCCTGAGAAGACCAGGCCAAAGGCAAAAAAGATGGGAAAGGACCAACTGATGAGCAGAAAGAACTCGATGACGGGCGTAGTGATTTTGGTGACATAGCGCAGAGGGTCACAGACGGCGTAGTAGCGGTCAACGGAGATGAAGCAGAGGTGAAAAATAGACGCGGTGCAGAGCATGATGTCACAGCAGCTGTGCACTTTGCAGAAGAGGTCACCGAAGTACCAGCAGGAATCGATGGACCTGATCATACTGAAGGGCATGACCACACAGCTTACCAGGAAGTCAGTGGTGGCCATGGAGAGGGTGAGGAAGTTGGTGGGGGAGTGGAGCTGCTTGAAGTGGGAAATGGAAATGATCACAGCCATGTTGCCCAGCATGGTCATCACTATAGCAACAGTCATGACCATGTACATGGCACAGGTAATTGGCATGGGCCTCTCCTTTCTAGAACACGAAGTATTAACTGATGGAAAGCAAAACTGTACTCCTGGAAGATTTGTAAGGTCAAGTGAATTCATTGTCTTTGTCTTTTGAACACTAAAGTATTTTTTCAAAAAAAAGCATTATTCCTTTGCTTTCTGTGGAAAAAAAATAGAAATTGATAAATGTCACCATCAGGACCATTTTCTATAGATGACCAGAAAACCAGCATTTCTAAACCAAGTTTATATTTCCTACTTCCTAGGAGCCCTTTCCCCACTCCCTTTGCCCATGGGTATCACATAAGTTTGTATTCTAAACCATAGACTCTGATTGTGGATTAGAAGCCAAGGCTGTGTTCTCACACTTTCTCAGGAGAGCCTGATATTTAGTCATCCAATATCAAAATAGGACAGGAAAAATTCTTCATCTGCTTGTGTGAGTGCGATCCAGAGCAAGAGCAGCATAATAGGGCACGTGGCACAAGCATCCACACGGTACTTGGATAAAAACTTCACAAATCATCAAGAACTATGGTCCTATTTTTTCTATATTTACCATCGATATTAATTCTAATCTGAAGACTACTGCATTCTTATTTAAAAGCTCCCTAGGTGAAAGGGCAAGTGCCTTTGATCCTGCCACTTGCTACATTCAATTAAAAAAATACTTTTCTATTGAAGGTTGAGACTTTTTAGTACTTAACAGAATTGTATGGGAAATTATATATAATCTAACTATTGTACAATGATACAAGAATTAAGCCCCCCCAAGGGTGTGGCATGGACTAAAATGATAGATTCTGTACATCTCATCTGTTCTTTCCTTTCATTTAGCAGCTCACTCATGAATTCCTATTCAGAGGAAGGATCTCTTGTTCACAGATTTCAAGTCTTACATTGGTCACCAGTTTCAATTACAAGAGTGCACATCATTTAATCCATCATTTCAGACCCCTTACTCTCCTTTATTCTTACAATGTGAATACCATGGGACTGACTCGCCTCAAGTGTGACCAGGATATCACTGGTTTTTCCAGTCTTGACGCTCATTTGTAATTCTGCTGCCCAATGGCAGGCATCTGTGAACTCAAAAAACAGGTTAGAGAAATGAATTTGGATCTAAAAGCAGTCTGCAACTCATTGATCTTTTGGGAAACGTATCTATAAACACATCCTCAACCAAATTTACAGTTAAAAAAACTATAATGAGAATATAAGAATCTTTGAAATAATAGTCCACAATTTACTGCACTTTTCCCCATACCTACTCCATGCCTCAGTGTTATTGGAAATCTTATCATGATTTGCTTCTTCTGAATACAGTAATTTATCAGATTAGTATTCTTCTTTACATATTTTATCTGTATCTCTACCAACCAAACATTGTGCAAGTAAGTTACACCTGAGTGACTGAGACAAAGCAAACTAAAATGTAAGAAGGATAAAAATGCATTGCTTTATAAAGTGCAGACCACATGGCGTAAAGAGTTTGTTTCTTACCATTTTAATCTTACAGTGGCTGAAAATACTGAAATTGTAAACTCTTAGTTACCTTATTTAAGCAATTATCTTCTTTCATCTTTTTTATTTTATGATTTTAAAATGTTTAAATCTTTTTAATTCTTAAAATCATCTTCAAGGATAGCTAAAACTCACAATGTTGCTTAAGTATTTGAATTCCTCATGCAAATTTATCACCTCTTTAGTACTTTATTATATACCATTTGAGGTTTTAAATTTTGATTCAGAAAACACAATCCATAAAAGAATTTATAACTTAACAATCTAGTTTATGACACATTTTATTTGTAAGAAAAAAATGAACAACTTCAAGAAATGAGTAATATTCTCTCATGCTTCTGCAGCATAGTTATATGCGTTAGAAAAATGTTTAAATAACTGGTAGATTAATATAGGAATACAGAACAAAATGTACACATTTATTTTAAAATTGTTGCATGGGTGAATTATCAAAGGAACATCAAACACAATATTAATATTATCCACTTAATATTAACTTAATATTGCTTAATATTAACTTCTAAGCTTAAATTCTTGTACTAAAATTATAAAAGAAAGAAAAATCAAAGCAAGTACAACTGCCAGCCTACTGCTTATTAAAAAGAAATTGTTATGAAGAGTTTAGCTTTTGTTTGCTATTTTCAAACTTGGCAGAAGAGAAGTCCCTTTCTGTAGAATCACCTTCAAAAAGTTCTACACAGCAGGTTCGATTGCATTCAAAATAAAATTTAATAAAAATAAAATAAAATAAAGCCAAAGCCCTATGATACCTGGATATATCATGAGACATTGTTGCTTCCCTGTTGCACTTTTTACCAATAACGTTATCTCACAAGTAACAGAAACAAGATAAATTTAATTATAATATTAAATCCAGCCATCTAGGAAAGCATAAAATATTACTGGCTCTTCTTCCCGGACATAAAGGAAGCATGTGCTAGAAATTCAGGAAAAGCAAGAGTTGTATAGGTTTTTTGGTTTTGGGTTTTTGGGGTTTTTCCCCCCCTAGCTCCAATTCAATCCTTTAAGAGAAAAAATTACTGAGCAATGAACTAGACATAAGGACTCTACAATAATGACTTTTTAAATGCAAAATTTTAAGGAAAAATTAATGAAAAGGGAGTATGGCAATTTTTCCTCAAGTTTAAATGCCTAAAATTACATTCATGTATATGTTTTGCCCTCAATTAATATAGAAAATATTCAACAACTCAATACTGTTTTATGAATAAACTTTTAAAATTAGAGACACATCACAAGTGCTTAGCAGGCATTTTTTTTTCTTTTTTCCCTTTTCTATACTCCAAAAACTGTGCTTCTGGAACTATTTCTGAAAAAATACTAAATTTTACATTAAGTCTAAGTATCTCACCACTTCAATTGTTTGTGATGTAAGAAAGAGTATTTGTGAAATAAAATTTTAAAATATTTTATCATTGCCTCCTTAGGATCTCAGCGAGGTCCTCCTCTGCTTTATCAGCATGTACTCACTAATGAGGCGATGTGAGTGACAGTCACTGCTGTGCCGGGGTCTCTTACCAGGGCAGTGGGCCTCTTGCTGGCTCCATCCTCCCCACGCGCAGGTCCCTGTACAGATGCCCAAGCCCAAGCCCCTGCGGGGAGGTCCTGCCAGGCTGCGCCGGAGCACAGAATGCACCTCTTCGGCCGTCCTGCCCCTGTCCTGCTTTGACAGGTGTGTGTGTGTGTGTGTGTGTGTGTGTGTGTGTGTGTGTTCACACCCTGCAGGCCGCCGCCAACCATGACATCGCAGGAAATCACCAGAGAATTGGCCCTGGGAGGGTGAGTCAGTTCTGTGCTCTCATTGCTATGACCTCAGAGGCGGGCAGTGGACCAGCCTCACGCAAGACCAAAGGTGGGAAAGAGTGAGAAACAGGAGGGAGGAAAGAGACAACAGTGTAAGGGAGAGAGGATGAAGAAAATTTAATTTAAATCAACATCAACTCATTCTATTTAATATGTTCATTATGCAAAGCATAATTTATTCACTGATATCTTTTCCTTTTATTGCCATGCACCAGCATTTCCTTAAATTTGTAGATTTCCAAATAAAGCCCATGCACAAACAAAAAGCAAAGAAAAATATCTCTAAAGTACCAGGTGATAAGTAAACACTTTCCATCGCCGAGGGATACTTTCCTACTCTTGATCTTAGCCAAAAGGCCGAGAAGCAATAAGTGATACTTTCCTGATCTTTAAAGAAGGTGTTTCTGTTAGTGTGTCATAGTTCCATACTCTAAGCTTTAAATAAGTTACCTCAATGAGTGCATCATTCATCAAGAACATAGAATTGTTTACTTGAGAAGTCCAGGCAAAAGCTATGGTATGTGCTTGTGTTGCGGAAGGAATTGGTAAGTGACATGCACAGAGAAGTGCAGAATGGAAGTAAAATAATAAAAGTTTATTTTGCCAGCAAAGGTTCGATTGCATTCAAAAAGGCAGTGCCAGTGATTGACCTCCTATTGGGTTGCAGCTTCCTCTTTTATAGGTTTTACAGCCAGGATCTCATTCAGGTGGTTACATTTCATTTCCTCAGTTCACATTACCCATGTACAAATTACAGAAACAAGACAGTTAACTTTAACCCATATGTAACAATTCCTTGCAGTTAGGGAGTTTACCTCAAGATTTGTCTAGCTGGCTATTCTAGTGCACAGGAAAGGGTGTACTAATAAAAAAACTACAGAAGTTAAAAAGAAAGAATATACAAAGACATTATGTGAATGATACTTGAAAATACAGATACAGCTAGGTGAATTCATGCACGCCTTTAATCCCAGCACTCAGAGTTGGGAGGCTAAGCAAGAGCATTGCCAGCCTAGGCTGCATCGTGAGTTCAAGGCCAGCCTGAACTACACAGAGAGAGGCTGTCTCAAAATTTTTTTAAAAGAAAAGAAAGAGAAGCAAGAAGGAAAGAAATAAAGAAAGAAGGAAAGAAAGAGAAAGAGACAGGGAGAAAGGGAGGAAGAAAGAAAGACAAGGAAAGAAAGAAAGGAGAGAAAGAGACAGAGAAAAAGAGAAAGAGAAAATATTTGAGCTTGTGGCTCAGTCTAGCATGTGAGAGACCCAGGTTTGATCCCCAATACCAAAAAAAGGAAAAAAAAATAGAAAAAGAAGGAAAAGTGGGAGGGAGGGAAGGAGAAAGAAAGGGAAGGAGGGACTTTAAAAAACACAAATAGAATTTCAATAGAGGCAAGAGCAGTGCTAAATTCCACAGCCCTCACAGGACTGCCTCATTCTCATTTTGTCTGTCTGGTCTGCTGTAAACAAAAATCAACACTTCAAACATCTCATTCTGAAGAAAGGAGCTTCACAAACTCCTTCCATGGGGCAACCTCCCACCAGTATACTTAGATGGTTTCATTTCCTCACGTCATATATTAATGAATGGGGAAGTAAATTTAATAAACATTGATTCAAATAATATTCTATTTTGCAGTGAAAGTAAACTATTTTACTCACTTCTTGGCTATTAGACTTTTAAAATAAAAGTCTGTATGTGAGCTTGTGTGTGTGTGTGTGTGTGTGTGTGTGTGTGTATGAATATCAAAATAGCT